ATAATCTTAAAATAGGCTGAGAATAGGTTGATTTACTGTTAACTAGTAAGTCTATATTAAAATGTTCTATCTTTTTTTTTTTTGAAAGGGAATTTAGAACAGATCTGCAGTGATTTCTCCTGTTACTAGTGGTGACCAATTTAAATATATGAAAGAAATTTATTATTTGCCTGAATTTTAGGATAACTGAATACAAACCCACCTACAGGTTATAATGTATGAATGTCTGTTGCAGTGTGTCCCATTTCCTCTCACCTATCCCATCCCCCTTAGGTACGCCAACCTTTCCCCCTCCCCCTGTGCCCTCCTGCCTGGCACCTTCCAGCAAGGTGTCGTGTGATTGGCAGATGCCCCCCAGGTCTGGGCTCATTGGTTTGTCCTAGCGTCCACATCCCCTGAGCCTTCCCCTGCTCACACCTGGTTGGCCCTCACCTGTCTGTCCCCTCCCCCTGTCCCCGGGGCTTAAAAGGACACGAGACCATGTGGTCAGGGTCTCTGCTGTGGTCTCTGCCGTGGGTCGGTCTCTGCCGGCTCTGTCTGCCTGGAGCTGTTGCCAGATTCAGAAATCTACCATGCTACAATAAAACTCTGGATCTAAGCTCCTTGGCAGAACCCGCTTCTTTTCTCTTCACCGTCTGAACCTTTTCTACCAAAGGTAAACTGAGGTCCTATTTTGCCTGGACTTGTTCCGAGTGCCCAGCTGCAGCACCCAGCCAGCCAAAGGTATCTCTGGGGTGAAAACACCACAGCTGCCACCTTTGGTCCAGCAGCGAGGCTAGACGAAGCCAGGCAGGACACACCCCGAAACATTCGGGGCTTAATATTTAATAAATGTCGTCACATATATGGTCTTAGAATTGAATAGTTCAAATGGAGTGGATCTGCACTGATCATCTAATGCACCTAGAATCTTAAAAAGAGACTTAAATATAAAAATAGAAACATCCCAAAGTCAACACACTGCCAAACAAGAAGCTGCTTCACCAGTGAACTGGAAAGACTAGATCAGTTTGGTTCCTCCTTTGGCCAGTCCTACATGGCTTCCAGGAGTCCTAAACTGATCCAGACAAGCATCCAGAATAGCCTGCTCCTAAAATATAGTGGCTACAGACAACTTCCAATACATGCAGCTCCTAAATATTGCTCTGACCTGGGAGAAAAGTGCACACTGGTTCAACTCACAAGAATCCACTGCAACATCCAGCTTCGGGTACTAATACACAAAGTAGCACACATTCCAAAATAAAAATTAACAAGTTGATAATCACAGTAATGCCTGTTCCCATTTAAAGCAATTTGAAGCACTTTTATCACCATTACTCTCCTGCAATATTTTAACACTGTAAGAGAAATCTGACTGATCAAAACCAGTTTCAACAATCAAAAGTACTTTTGTGTGGAAAAGTAAAAGCACATTCTGTCAGAAAGATACTTACTTAAAAACATATAATTAGATAAATCATTTTGGAACTGCAGCCTGTATTTTGGAAACCATGGCCAAACTGATACGCCACCACCTTCCCTCATATGCTGAATAACTAAATTTATTTTTCATTTGTAAAAGTTTTTATTTGCTATTTCGTAAGTTTTCCAAAACTACAGTCAGAACTGACTTATATAGGATTAATTCTTCATTACTGTAATTTCAATCTAAAATAAAGTTATTCTGGAGCAAACTCATTGGAACAAAAACAATTGTATCAGTTTTACAGCCTAGTTAATATATGCAGTCTTTATTTCAGCATGGACTTAGCAGATACTCAAATACGTCCAAATACATGCTATTGTCACAGGAAAAAAAACCAACAACTTACAAATATTTTTGACATGGGAAGATAGAATAACCACCAAAGAAGTCTACATAAGAGAAACATCTTTACTTATAGTTTCTGAAATGAAATGCCATGCCAAAGTTACTTTCTTGAGTTCATTTAAAAATCAAAATATAACTAGAAAACAGATAACCAGCAACAGAACTCAGGGAAAAAAAGGATTACATTTACTGATTAGTATTTCAGCTTGGCTTCTCCTGTAATTTTCCCTGGTCACTACAGTAATATGAAGTATATTCTGCAAAATGAATTAGGTTAAATTGCATTTCATAAATTAAGTAAGTTATTTGGATATTTTTGCAAGTACCTATTATAGCTGTGAATTGAACTATTCATGACATTGCTTATTACTTACAGCACGTAGATTCTACAGTATCATTTCTACCTAAGCAATGTATGGAAAAAAACCACATTAAATAAAGTACAACATTGTGAAAAACTGAAGCAACTGCACTTCCCAACAAAAAATATAACTAACATCTGTTGCAGAAACTGCTTGGCACTTGCACAGTTTTGTGAAGAATTTTTGTTGTAGATAAATATTTTTCTACATTTCCTATTATGCACCACTCAACTCAGACATTTTCCTTAATTATACTCCAAGGAGTCCTTTCATATCCATTAAAGAAAGGCAATTTGTTGCCTAAAAAAATGCATACATATTTTTAAATTTCAACTGTGATTCATCTGTCTTCTAACACGTGAAAAATATTAAAAAAATACCTATAATTAATGGACTTCGTTCTGCAAAAATTTCTAATAAAAGTCTCAATGCTCAACAAGTTACATTTGTTACATACTTTAATATGTTTGTTTTATATAAGCAATGATCTTGCAATTCATCATTTCACTTCTATTCCACATCTCAATAAGGAGGAAAATAGCACAGCAAAGCATTAGGAAAGCAAGAAATTACCATTTCAACACTGGTCAAAATGACCAAAGAAGGCTTCTTCTTTGTATACACAGCAAAAACAGATCATAATTTTTTCAGAGACGATGTAACAACTTTGTGACATTTTCTCTCTCTTTTTTTTCCTTTTTTTTTTTATTTTTCTTTTAATATCTCTTTCTAGTACTCTTAACTAAAGATCTTCAAAATCACTGAGATCTTGATTCAGTGTGAGTTTTTCCCTGAGAATATGTATGTACTGTGCACATTTAACAAAACTGTTGTATTCTGCACACATTCTGTTGTACTCATACATTCGCAATCAAGACTTGTCTGCCACCATAATAAACTGTAAGATGTTTTTTTAAGCTTGTAGTAAATGCTATTGTAAGCATATAGAGATCTATTACCCTACTGAGATCTCAAACAACTGGTAATGAAGAATGAGGTGAAAATGAGGGTACTGCCAATAAAAGAAAAGAAATGTTAAGTCTAAATACACAGAAAATTCAGTTCAGGCCCAAAAGTCTATCCATGTGAGTTCAACTGCAAAATGTGAGAGTTACAAGTATAATTTGCTGTTAAGCAAACCAACTGGCATTGCATTCATTATTAATATGAAATTGGAGAAAGAACATTTCTTAAATTTTATTTGCTAGAAAAAACTTCACTTAATATTGAACCAAATTTGGCCACTTTAAAAGTGAAAAATATAGTAAAATAAGGAATACTTCAATCATATAAGAAACAGCCCTACTGACGATGAAAAATATGATCTGTATTGCTCTATGAAAAAGTTAAAGCCAAGGCATATAGACTATATTTGGATGATAAAATCCAATCAGTTTTGTCTCAGGATATTTTCGTTTGTTAAGTGGGAGGTTTTTGCTTTTATGCTGTACAATAAGCTAGGCCAAATTTGCTTTTATACTGTATAATAAACCAGGCCAAATTATTAAACTTACATATCAAAATCCATATTACATTTCCTTTAAGTATTAATTACTTTTTTCTAAGTCTGTTATTTACATGAACAAGACCTAGAACTTATAGTTTCTATCCCTGCAAAATTTTGTTTACTTTTTTATGTAACTTGATATTTTCAATCCAAATTCCATTTTTTTTCCTTTCTCCTAAGAATGAATTTTCAGAGAAAAGTACCAACAATTTTTAAAAATATTTTACAGTGGAGTTTACAAACCTGTCACAATCTCTTCTTAAAAACACTGCTATACTCCACTTACATTTATGCCATTTCCTAACATATAATAAGCTTAATTTCTTTTGAATCAGAAAGGAGACATAAGTAGCAATAAAGAAAAAAAGGCTGTATGTTCAACTATACTGTACTAAGAGCAGCTATGCTACAGATCAATTTGTTCTGAGCTCAAAGTCTGTAACTTCATATTTCAGAAAAAGAAGAATCTAAGAAAGAATCAGTTTAAATACAAAGCAGCAACACGGTAAGGTGCTGAAACAGTTTTCACTCTGCTGCAATCACAGAACAAACGGATTCCTCATATAATCTTTAAGAGGAGGAGTGTTCTAAATGACATTTATGAACAGAATGACACAACCCGATTTTACTTCTTCCTACAATTTCAGAAGTAATTTTCAGCATTTCCTCAAATGTATCTGACATGATAGGAATGTAGACATGACAAATTTCTCAGAAACTGAAGAGCGAAAGGTACACTGAATAGAACAATTACATAATTTACTGTGTGATAGCTAAAAATTAGACAAAAACATTACTCCTTGGAACAGGAAGATGAGAAACAGTTCAGGACTTCAGAACAGGAATTGCAATTCTGACCTCAAATCAGTATACAGCCGTTCAGAAAAAAGCTTTTACATAAAAAAGACAACCTATGGCAGCAACATATTGCTTTAAGCAGTGGAAAAGAATGGAGTAATGGAACAGTGCAAAATTAAAACTAATAGCAAATAAAAACCCAAGTTAAACAAAAAAATCACTGTCCCAGCAGCTTTTCACAAGAGTAGTTTTAAAACCATCTTTCTTCCCTTAAGCAAAATATGGTGAAAGCAGAAGATCTGCTTGTATCCAAGTATTACTTGTCTGTTTTCCAGAACAACTAAGTCTGTATAGAGTGCAGTGGACTAAGTTTTTGGGGACTGGGACTGTTGCTGGTCTGCGTACTTACAGTAAAGAAGAAACTGAGGCCAGTCCTTAACCAGGATGTCAGGGTAATAAGTGATAAGGGATCAGTGGTGTGCAGAAAATAAATACAAACAGGCAAGAAGCTGACACATACCTCTTGTACTGAGCGAGCTGCTGGCTTGTCTTGGTGATTGGCCAGTATTAAAAACGGCAAAGTACATAACTGTGGGTGCTGAAGAGCAGAATGCAGCTCATTCCTAGCAGTTTCTAGATCATCTTCCGAGGAGGCGCTGTCTAGTACAAATATTACCCCTTGGGATCCTTGGTAGTAACGACTCCAGTATTTTCTGATATTGTCAGCTCCTTTCAAGAAAATAATGAGAACTAATTAAAACAAGAATAGTTTAACAAATGTAACACTTGGAAGTTAAAATAAACCATCTATTTAGAATTATCAAAATAATAATTTTCTCTCTTAACCATCATTAAAAGAATAAAAAGAAAAAAAAGTAGTAAAAAAATCCAACACACACACACACACCAATGTCAAATCAACACTGTTTAAAGAAGGAAGGAAGTTGACTCAATGCAGCTTTCTTCAATTAAAGCTTCTGCTCTGTTAATGAGTACTGGCAGAACTACTATGCTGACAGTACCACAGAGCCTAATCCTTTACCTTCTCATTGGAATATCTTGGCACTAATACCTAAACCTTTACCCATTCTTTTTCACTTTGCCCTGCAGCTCCTTGTCATAAACCTGCAGCTTCTGTCATGGCAGTTGTTCATTTCTGATAAGGTCTTCCAGTTCATCTCTAAACCATCAGGCAACCACTTCATAATTGGGGAAAAAAGGTGTCAGGAAAGCCTATTAAAGTAATTAGATACTTAATGAGGAGAATGATGATACAATAGTGAGTTGAACAGTGAATGAGGAGCTAGGGTGACTACATGCAAAGGCATTCAGTTCAACTACTTTTGCTCTGTCAACCACACTAAGGATTCTGGAAGAGCCCAACAGCAGACACATGAGTGACTGTATAGGCTTATATGCCACAGTAATTTTTAGGACACAGTTCAGCAGCACTCAGCCATCTCAACAGAAGCCAAGCACTAAGGTTATCAACAGAAAGCTTTTGTCTCCCCTGGAGAGCAGCATATGTTGTAGCAATGAGGTAGGGAAAAAAAAATTGTATTTGACAGCTGTCAAACTATCTAAACTATGATTTGGATATGGGCTATTCTTTGTATGTCTGGATCTGGCACTACACTCATGGGGACAAACACTAAACAGTGAACAGCGGCAGCTATAGTCTAGTAGAAAACTTGACATGTCTGCCAGACAGTGACTTGCAGAAATGTGCAGAAGGTACCTTTTATAGACACTTTTCTTATTTTGAGACAGAGAGAAGTGGACTTGCATATATACACAAGAACCAAGAGCTTAAAATAATAAAATTCCACTTTTCAGTGAAACAAAATCACATAAAATTTCTGAGAAACATAATGAGATCTTCATGCAACAAAATGACCGCAAGATTAATACAATACTTAAAATATTAACTTAATTTACACATTGTGCAACAAAAAAGACAGTCATTAAATACAAGTGAAGGAAGAAATAAACATTTGCTCCATGAAATTTAGGTATGCAACTCATGAGTATTCAAATCTCACCTAATAGAGTTACTCTTGTCTTTTTACTAGTCACACTGGAACCCTGAACACTTTGTTTCTGTATCTGCACCCAGCACAAGCTGTCAACACACAAGCACACACACTTTTTCCTACAGAGAATACTGAAGTCATACCTAATAATTTTTTTTCTGCAAAAGACCTACAGAGCTGACTACTTAAATGTGAACAGTCACAGGACTTAGTCAAGACCTTGCTTAATCTCTCTGTTAATTTAACTAGACTCAAAACAAAAATGACAAACAGGACTGTTTTATTTATTTTATCATCAGGATCTGAAGATTAATATTATACATTCAGAAGAGGGACTGCATTGAAAGCTAATTCTATGTTTCTGTAGAACACGAATATCTGTCCACTGTTCTTGCGAAGAATTTTATAGCATCTGTTAGATGCCCCAGTCCTTCTGAACAGCTGCCTACTTCAGAAGCAACTAGAGCAAGCTGCCAGAGGGACACTATTTACATAGCCACACACAGCAGTGTCACAGGCATCTGAAGTATCACATTACTTTAAAAACTAGTAGAGAATCATTTTCTATGAACTTAAAGACCAAGACCATGATCAGTTCTTTGAACATATTTTTTTTTCCTACCAACACAACATCTGTCTTATTTGCCCTAAGCATCAGTCAGCTACTTTTCAATCACATGTCACTGCTAGAATCTGAGTCTTACATTGGTAACCATACTCACTCTAAAAAGAAAAATTGTGGTAAACTGCAGAGCATTTGATCTCTTATATCCAGGCACTTGGAAGAAAGCAGCTCATGGATCCCTACATGGGACACTGAAGCCAGAAAAGGAGTATCTGATTTGTTGACTTTACAGTCCTGTCTTTTTGGTTCAGATTCTTTAGCAGCTAAACTTTGTTCCTCCACATCAGTTGTCCCAAAAGAACCACCACCAAAGTATAGCAATCCTTTCCTCTCCAGCCCTGGTCAGTCACCATGTCATAGTCATAAGAACCAACTTCCCATAAGAACAACATCCCATGAAACTTGGTATTTTCTTTGGGATTTTCCATTACTCTAATGACATGCCCTGAAATTGCTTACACTTCAATTCTGAGGAAATCACCTGAGGTTTAAGAATAAAAGTTAATTTACACTAAGCAGACAAGGAAAAAGCTGATAAAGCATGTACCGTAGGATGCCATTTTAAACCATTTTTTTGGCAAATGCACTAGAAAAATAATTCTTGGCATCAATAAGCTATCAGCAGCTGGAAGTTACAATTTCTACAAGACAAATAACCTGATATTCTTTTGCCTTAACTCTTCATATCCAGATAACAGAATCTGCTCTCAGCTTCTTTCCTCAGAACAGTGGAGTGGAGTGATCCTGGAGTTATCCTGGGAAGGAAATACTTGCCTATGAAGTATTCAGCCATTCACACCTTGTGGCATGACAAATTCAGCCTTAGAAAGCAAGCAGTTGTTTTTAGGTGCAGTTCAGCAAAACTATCTTATTATTAATTTTTTCACCCATTCCAGCAGCTTCAAAGACAGGAAGATTCAAAGTCTAAGGTCTTTGGAAATCCAGAATATAATGTGTATCCATTAAACATCCTTAGGCTCTCAGAAGACTGATGTGATAAAAGCAGGAATTTAACTTAACTAGTACCCAAAACATCCCATCAAACAATAGTAACACATAGAATAAGCACTCAGATTTGTCAGCCAGCTATCATGTGTTTCTCTAACAGCTTTGAACTGTATGACTGTTTTTCCAATCAATAAACTGCCTTAACTAAGATTAAAAAAAAAAAATCTCCAAAACATCAGAAAAACATACTTCACGTTAGACCTAAGGAATGTGCTATGTGACAGGTTCACTAAAATGTGACATTCAGGGTAGCAGCTTCCTCAAACACAAGCAAGAGCCACTACTTATGGCTAAGCATATGATTTGTTTCCCTCAACAATGAAGGAACTTACAGGAGTGGGTTGAGTCCTGTGACGTGACTGAAATATGCAATTTACAAATAAACTAGGGGGGGGAACCCACCAAAATTCAAACTACAACACAACCACACCACCTATTCTAAAAGAAAAACTGCTATTCAATCAAACGTAGGCTTGAATTACTTTATAACAGGAACAAAACCAAACCTCTCCTTACAGAAAAATGAGAGGATGATGTAATAAAACACCCCAACCATTTAGCATTACTACAGGACAGATTTACACAACTAACTGTAATTTTAAGGACCTTCAGTTTAATATTTTTAAATATCAAATATTTTTTTCTTTATCATCAAAGGAACAGTGTGCCCATATTAATACTGTTAATTATTTGTATCAGTGTAACAGTACCCCTTAGGAGCTGGGAGGAAGATTTTGAGTTATGTGCAGTTTAAAGTGCACCTGAACCAGTACACACAAGTACAAGTACACACTCCAGTAAAAATTATGCAAAACACAGAGCTGCAAATCTACCTTTCAGCTATGAATACTTCTATTTACGTCTTCATTCACAGTGGTGGTTGGAGGCTACATCCAATTCCCTCCTTTTCAGTTCAATTCCCTCCTTTTTCAGGAGAACAGAACATAGCGTTACAGAAAAAAATTCACTGAAAGAAATTTGCATGTATCAAATTTGTTACTTGTCAGAGGCAGCAACTCTGCATTGAGAGCACAATGAATGTCACAGAGCCCTTGCTTCAACACAGTCTAGTCTGCAAATGAAAGCTCCTGTTAACCTCAAAATACATCACAGGTCTGGAGAAGTTGTAGTCTCAAATAGAGGGAAAAACTTTTTTCCCTTCCCATCAAAAACAGTTAACTTGAGCACATGAAAGAACACAGGCTGCAAACAGTTTTTCTACCACTTCAAATATATCATCCACTCACCTACATACTCTGAAGGTTTTATAGTTAATTAAAATATTATATAGATCATTCCACTACTGATACTAAACAGAACATTTCTAATAAGCATAAAGGTGACTCTGCCAATGATTCTGCCACAAAATATTTTTGTGTACATCCCTGGCCATGGGTATGGTAGTGAGAAAGAAGGGAAGGAAAAAATAAATCTCTTATCCATTCTTGCAAAATTTGCAAATATACCCTAGTGTCTCACCCCAAGAAAATCTTTGGAAAATACATGTTTCTAAGTCTATGTAGAGTTTATACTGTCACTTCACATCATATCCCCACAAGTAAAACTGGTGTATTTTCCTGAGTAGCCAAGAACATGCCTGAAACCTTAGAAATCCTAACATCTTCAAGAGGTATGGTTGCTCCTTATCTATCCCGAGCATGTTTCCCAGTAGTCCACCCTTGAATAAATCCTGTATACAATGAGGGTTTTTTTATTGGTTGCTTGTTGTTTGCTTTTTTTTTAATGTGCTGGCTCCTTTTTATGACACATAAAATTTATAAATCCTGTTTCAGATACCTGCTACGAATAATCTGCATGGAATTTGTCCCATCTGGCAGAGACATCCACACAGAGACACAAACGTTTTCACTGGTGTAATGTCAGTCATCATTCTATGGCTAGTTTGTATGGCTACTGCAACGATGCAGATGCTAAACCAAAACCTTCTCCCATTTGCAAAAGTCCCAGGACTTCTGATTCCTAGGGTCTGTGGCCAAGTGATCACAGCCTACTTTCTCTAGGCTTTCAGGCAGTGTACTCCTGCAATGCACAAAACATGGCAG